GGTCAGGCCCTAACCTGCCATCAGGCCTATAAATAAATAAATAGGCCTGAAACAAACCTAAACAAAAGTCCATGCCTTACAACCGTATTTCAGTTGTAAATCTGGTTGGTCTATGAGACAAAAGATTTTTCAATCCGTCATTTGATTGGTTGGTGTTAATTAGATTATACTGTTGTTGTTGATATATTTTATAGTGATCACAACTATAATCAGATTGTTGTTGTCGTTGTGCGAAATTTTAATTTGTTGTCGTTGTGCGAAATCTTAGCGACCCTCATACCACATCAATTTATATGCATGAGGGAAAGTAGGTTTCAACTATTAATTCAACTTGCAATTGTTACTTATATCCCATGAAATTTTGGTTTCCAATTACTTTAATATACTGTATACATATACCCTAAACCTCCGACTATAAAACCTGGCTTATATACTTTCATAAGCGATTTTTGATGGAGGGCTTATACAAGGGGGGCTTATACCTAATGATCTTTTGTGTTAGTGTTAGTAATAAACAAGTCAAACATAAACAAGTCAGTCATAAACAGGAAATTAAAAATGTATTAATATATCAATTCGGGGGACTTATATTCCGGGGGGGGGGCTTATATTCAGGGGTCTTATATTTGAATAGGTGAGCTTTAGTACATGTGGTGGGCTTATACATGGGGGGCTTATATTTGGGGGCATAGACGGGTTTTGTGGGGGGTGCAGGGGGGTGCTCCTCCCCCCAATATTAGCTATAACCCCCCAAACAAAATGTCCACCCCTCCAAAAAAAATTTCAACCCCCCCCCAATATTCGGCATAATAAAAAATAATTAAATAGTCCACTCCAACGTGCAGAGTGTTGATGATACAAAATAAACGTAGGAGTACACTCAAATAGAAAAAGACAGTGGAATACTCTGAAACTAATTTTTCGAATCTAGAAATCAATTTTTTTCAGGGATACTTTGTTTTCTGCTCTCTAGACTCCCACTCGCGGCTCTAGTGCTCCACCCCTAGAATATAGACCCTACTGGGGTTTGGTGACACTTTGTGTTGCTTCAGTCACCTGCTTGCGGCTCACCCCCCTAAAATTTCTGGCACCACCCCAGTAAAAAACATGAAAATCCGTCTATGTTCGGGGGGTGGGTGGGTTATAGTCGTAAGTCGGAGGTTTACGGTACCAGTACATCACAACTCTTTATATCAGAAAGGGAACTTGTAGTGACTAGCATGGTATACCTGAAACACTGCAACAGCTGCATGTATACAAAACAGTATGAAGTTTAAAATTACAGATACATGGACTATGTGCACTTGCAGTGAAATGTCTTTATATGGAAATATGCAAAAGTACCAGAGGCGAAAAACTGTTTACAAATACTCAAATTGACAAATTCTTCCTTGAAAATTCAAACAGAGTGCTTTACAATTTTGCATGTACATATATTAATGAGTTGTGAACAGGCAGGCCATCATTCAAAGGACGAAAGCAGTCACTTTCAATCAGTTTTATATTAATATTATTATAGATGACGGGTTTGAATGCTCAGTGCTCACTCCTGAGTCAGATACATATGCACATTTTATATAATAATAATTCAAATAACAGTTATTAAATACGATATTACACTTACCATATCATCTGTCTTTATATTTGGCAATGTTTTGGCTCGTAACATAGACAAAAATTCAGTAAAATTCTGTTATTTGTCTTCGCAAATTTTGGGAAACTTTTAAAACCAAGATGGCGGCGCATTATTTTTTCGCGAAGGCCTGGCCGCTAAGCTTTGATCGCTTTTCGGAAAAAATACGCGACTTTTTAAAAAATCTCCTCTTAATTATCACTGAAAATATTTGCAAAACTGAATCATACAGTGCTATATATATTTGTTTGGATTTATTCAAAAGCTGGTGCTGGTGACCAATACAGTAACTTTGTGGTGACTTACTGTAAATGTCGAAATAATAAAAATATTCACTATCCTCAATCTATATAGCGCATATATCCAGAAAAGTCCAAAAAGACTCCAAATTAAGCGGTGCTATGTCATCTTCCTTGCATGCACCTGAGTGCTGTATTGCAAAGTACGCAGAGGTAAAATAAGATAGAAAACAGTCTATTTCAACGAGTTTATGTAACGGAGCGATCGGCAAATAAACGTATTAAGTAGAACTGATTTTTCACTTTCAGTTTAAGAGAATAGCGAGTAAAATCAACTCGGATTCGAGACGATAGTATTGATAGTGAACCGAAGGTCTAAAATATTTATATAATTTTGGTTCGAAATTTCTATCAACAAAGTCCTTCAGCATTCGCAATCTATACTATCGTGTGAGATCAGAAATCAAAAATCACCAAAAATCTTCCGACACGAAAGTGGAAAACATGAACACGAAAATGGCAAACTTGCAGGCGAACGTGCATGCAAAGTTCGAAGCAATGAATAATGAAGTGAGAGGAATGAAAATGCCTTTAAGTGAGGTAAAAGATCGCTTCGATTACTTGAAAGTAGCAGTACATGAGAAGATAGAGAGCAAAGAAAGAAAGCAGAAGGAAATTACAAGAGATGTAAGTGGCACAGCGAATGGCGGAAGAGAAATTCAACATACCTGTATTGATTTGTTACTGGTAGAAATATTTAACTACCGTCAGAGATTGTGGTGTTTGTGACAGTGAAAGATTGTGGTCTTTTGGACGTGACAGCCATCTTCATTCATTTACACTAATCATGTGACTGTATAGCGGGAGGTTGGTCTCCTGCACGTGCTGTAGGCAACATGATCCAAATGAACATTCACTCAATCCCTGGTTTCTCAACTGGAGCGATTCTGCCACCAACCATACTGCTTTGTGTATACCACCTAGGAGGAAGTTGCTTCCTGTTAGGACGTATATATAGTGGTGTGACAAGGATGGCTTGTTTGTTGCTGGAGGTGTATATGCAGATCAATGTGTCATCTCGGACTGTATTCACGAAGTACAACTTAAACCATCGCACACAGTCAAACTGCAGGGTATCTAACTATTATCATCACATAGTACTGTGCTGTGAACTACGATTTCATCACACCACAGTGCTATGTGATGATAATATTTTGATCATTGGAGGAAAGAAATCAAGGGAATGCAAAGACAATCTTAACAGTGTGTTAAGCTATGACATCAAGAAGAATAAACGTCAACAGTTACCATGTTTTTCCGTATCCAGTGGATAGGGAAGTGCTGGTAGCTATTGACATTTGGAGTGAAGTGGGCTGAGAATGTCGTGATCATTGGTTGGCTGATAAGGATGATAAAGCATTAAACAATATTGTAATTTCCAACATGAAGACTAGAAACAGTCAACTAATGTTGCATCCCATGTTATAGACAAGAGGATAGGACGTATATGGCAGTTGTTATTGAGAATACAATTGTAGTACTAGAAGGGAGGGTTGAGAGGTGGAATGAGTTAAAGGTTTCAATTTTGAGCGATTTTTGTGGGAGGAACTTTCTGACATCAAGTGACATGAATGAATCCAGGAGGTATGCAACAGATGTGGTGATCTACAGACATGCGCGTATATATTACGTATAGAGTCTTGAAAGACTTTTGTAGATTTTAGAATATATTAAAGAGCTACCTGACCATAGAACTACATCTGTTATACCCCAGACAAAGTCGAAAATTATTGTGTAAAATGTTCTAATAATATTTTGACCTATATACTTCAAAACATTTCTAGATTTAAGCATAGATGTAAGAACATTCTGACTATAGCACTAAAGCTATCATTATTAATTTGGTGATTTCAACGTATATGCATGGAAGCCCTCTTTCCAATAATAGACAGATTTAGATCGAGGACGCGGACGTCAAAGACGACGTGAAAATGGCGTGGCATATCCATACATGAGACACACGCCATTTTCACGTCGTCTTTGACGTCCGCGTCCTCGATCTAAAGATCCAGACACACCGGACGCGATTCGACAACGCGACGCGATTTTTTAGTTTTTGAAAGTTAATAAAACAGCCAATGAGAGCAAATTTTGAAAGATATGTAGACCAAATAACTCAAATTGTTATACCGCTTCTAAATATTTGGAAAATTTAAACTAGAACCAAAAAATGAAAATCGAAAAATTCGCTAATCGCACAGAATAACACCAACTGATATAATAGTTCAAATGCAATGATAAGTTATACCTCTTGAATTACGTCTCAGGAACTGTGTTGGAAATATAAATGCTGACCCATTACATATTAGATTACCGTTTTATGTATAAAACATTTTGATCGCATGTAAGGACTGTTATTTCTCAGCCCAGAGACATAACCCAAAGACTTTACATTACAGATTTTATAGCGGAGATAGAGCTCAAACTAAGGATTTTAGAAAGCGTTATCTGTACCTTCTCAAAGTTGTAGGCAAGATATGTTGTTTACTCAAAATGATTCGAGAAAAACGGTCTTTTGTTAAAAGGAAGACTGGTTAATAGAAATTGGTCCATCGATCCGTGTCTTTCAGTGAACAATGAAAAAATTGTCGTGAAATTAGTGAAGATAAAATAGCAGTTTGTGAGAAAACGGCGGGTCTAACGGAGCGGGGACTTTTCGGATTTGAACTCAGCGCGTTCGAAAGTGTTAGTTCCCGTAAAAATATTTCAGTTCCAAGACATGGGAAATGAATTTGTATCGTAAAAATATTTCAGTTCCAAGATATGGGATTTTCGAGGTCACATGCAGCAAACGGCCTACAGTAAATATCTCCCAACCAAGTCTGAATTCCCGCTTTTCTTGATTTTTGTCGCGGGCTCGGGGAGTGGGGCCACTGCCAACTGCCCCCTCTCCCTGTGTAAACTGTTTATGTAGCATCACTTGCCTCAACAAGTCGTATCCACTTGAGAACATCACATGCAAAAATGGTTAGACACAAACATTTCACAAAGAAATAAATCAGCCCAAATTGGAACGGAAGAAGCTTTTTCTCTTATAAAATCATAAAGATCTCGAGAAACCAAATGTTTTCTAGCCCGTCGCTAGTTTCATCGGTATTAAGGGCATTTCCCCCAACAAGGAACAACCTGTTCACAAGTCAAAACTTCTATTTTCCTCCGCTCCAACAGCTGGCGAGGTTTGTTTACTCTCTCTATCCCTATACATTCCTCGTAAATAAGAAGTTTCAATGAAAAATATTTGTCTTCTACAGGTTCCCAAAATTTGCAAATATAAAATACAAGGATCGAGATAAAAACGATATAGGGAGTAAAATACTGGCAGCATTAGCAACTATGCCAAAAGCGGAATACATAAGACAGATGGGTAAACGACCATAGGTTACACAAGATAAAAAAATAAGGCCGAGAAACAGTATTTCCCGGTGTACGACACATAAAAAAGAGATAAACGAGGGCGTCTTCCGGAATCGATTGCCATTAAGAATACTGATAAAACCTTTAAGTATTTCGGTATTTTCGGAAATAACATGTAATTAATAATAAGAACAACAAATCCTATAAAATAAATATTGAATATATTCCATTTTCCTCACTAAATCCGACGGAGAACCGTCATAACAGTTGTATTTTCTTAAAGGTTTGCCAAATGCTTTACAGCATTTGTGTTTAGATGATCGACGTATTTGATAATAGCACATTTCATGCCCCGTATTTAATGCGGCTTTAAGAAGACCAAGTAAATTTCCAGCCGTAAAATCGTCTCGGATTTTTTCAAGTGCAATATATCCACGAGGGTTCTTGTAGATTACCATGTCAACGGTTTGTTTACCAACAGTCAGGAAAATGCTTGAATAATGTTCTCTAAATACAAACTTCGATATTTTGGCCAATTTTATCAGCATATATATCCAGTACAAACGTAACTGAATGATATTAGTCATTTTATTGTATGCCGACTGCGAAAATGTTATTGACTGGGTCTGGGGGGGGGGGGGGGGGGGGGGGGGGGGGCAAAACGGGTCACCATGGGGGACTGGGGAGGGTCTTTGCCCCTCCCCCCTACAACAACTGCCCTGCATTATATAATTACATGGCAAACTTGGTACATCCAGTAATACTGCCTTTGGATTGGCTACAATATACATCCATGTGATTTGTATTTCATGTGTGTATTTATATAATTTATTTAGCCCGACAAAAAGCTCTGTCTGGGAGACGAGTATTAGATGAATATTCAAGGAGAAGACGTCAAAGACGGCAACTTGACGCATTGGAAATGGACAACTTTGGTGATGATCCTCATGCGAACCTCGCAAAAGCAAAGAAATTACCATCCTTTATTGACTCCCCAGAGGGTGAGAAGTAGATATTTTAAATTGAACTATCTTGTGTTATTTGCAAAGCACGTATGCATGTGTGTATATGATTATTAACAATCGTCAACAATTTCAAATAGTATATTCAACTATTAAAAGTACCAAATATGTAGTATACATTGTAGGCCCTAAAACAGGCGGGAAATTTGTCTGAGCATGCGCGAGCAAAATGAGCCACGCAATTCCGTGGAATATTTACAAAAAGGCGCAATTGTGTAAATATTGCCAAATGTTTGGTATAAAATAAATGACTGTGTTATGTTGAAAATGGACAAGATCTAAATTAATCATACAGAATGTTTTAGTGACGTTCTATTTCAGTACCGTGCCATTGTCTCTGGTGTGCTGTCCGTGTGCATTCGATCTGAAGCAGTTGCTACTTTGCTGTCGAAACATTTCGAATGTTTACATGAAAATAGAGACAATTCATGCATTTTATAACCTCGTGATATTAAATGAAAATGCATGAAACAGAGAACATTTTTAGAAAGTTTTATCGTGAGGCCACGGCCAGTTTTTAAAATATCTTCATTTCTTTTCCGGTCATCACCAAAGTTACACTGAATCCATATAAACAGCCCCTAAGATGACGACTGGTTTTGTTTTTTACTGATCTTTCATGTTTAAAAACACATTTAAAACAGAAAAAAAGAAAAAGAAGAAGAAAGGTACTGGGGAACATTTCAAGCAGGTACAGTACTTACATGCTCTCACCGTATTTACTCGTTTAAACGCCGGTCCAGATAAAGCGTAAAATTATTATAAAGAGCGCTTATAACTGAAGTACCGTCAGACATAATTGCTTCAGAAGCCTACCAGACTTGAATATTTTTCTCCAGTATTGCAGTCACTTTTGCGTTTAAAGTGAGTACATTTCCATATCTCTCATAAACTTGCTCTCATTTAACTAATTCGTCTTAATTTCTCTTTTCCTCTTTCCAGTGACTATTATATCTACATGTTACAAGTAAAATAATTTTTAAACACGCATGCAGCAGCCATTCTCTTTCAGTCAAAACCTCTCATTAAATGTAAAAACTTGTTAGAAAAAGTTCTCATTTTATTTGGTCTAACAAGCAATACTAACTTGCATGTATTTAATATTTAGCTTTTTTCTGTTTTCAGAGATTTAAGAAAACGTTTGTGTTATTACTTGAAGAGGAGGTAAGTTCGGCAGTAAACGCATGCAACGGTAAGCTGCATAACCGGTAGTTTGCTGACCTCAAACTGACATTATCCGTTCCAAATTGGAATCGTACGATGTTTCGAAGTTCGTCAAAGTTCTATCGGGCTGAGCTCTATACGCTGATATCCAGTCTCTTTCTATTATTGTTTTTGTCTGCGCGGTTGACTCAAGACTGCAAGGAGTATACCAAAATTTCGTGTTTCGATTCAAAGAACAATATTATGATTCTATGAACTGATAATTTGGCTAGCGATACGATCCGTATAGAAAAAAACTTGAATTAGCCGACAAAAATGGTAGGAAAAGTATTTACGGTCGTAAGATTTTGGACTTCAATTTCCGCCATCTTGGCTTTTTTTAGCAAGTGAGTTGTCTATTTGGAATTTGTACTCTGTAAAAAAACACTCATCCATATTCCACCATATCGTGTGCTCGTAGAAACGATGACGTCATGTCAGCACGTATCCAGCGAAATAACCTTTTCCCAAAAGTTACCAGAGTTATTTATTTACACTGTACGTCATTCGTAGTCTCGATAGATTACAACGCCAACTACATGCTGTACGATTGTTGTGGCGAGATTTGCCGCAACAAAAGAGCGGGTCGCAACCTTATTCCCAATATTTCACAGTATCTGCCACTGCGCGTTACGTTCATGCTGAAAAATGGTCCAGTGCTTTTAATTACCCACTTTGGAACTACCAAATCGAACGTTATAAAGTTTCACATTGTATTTTACTTAGTAATTATTCCAGCGTATATTTTAACGTATATTTTAGAAACAAGATTTTGTTGAGGGCGAGCCAAACTACGTGACAGCTTGTGTACCACCTTCAAGATTTCCCGAACGTCGTTTCTGTTCAGTATGTGGATATCCTTTTTGTTACTAATATAACTTATAACAGTGCTTTTTCCCAGGACAGGGAACACTGAACCGATCAGACGTCTCCGGCGAAGGCTATAACAATGTCACTTATAACCCTTTAAAGTTTAAAGCTATAATTTCCTTAACAATTCTCACATTTCCCTCGAACTACACATGTGTTCAATGTGGCAGCCGATACTGCTGTGTCAAATGTCTAGGAACTCATCAAGATACAAGGTACAAAAACATCTTCCACTAAAATTGAGGTAACAAAAAAATTATGGCCAGACCCATACGTGAACCCGATTTACTAGAGAAGCAGAGAAAACTATGTACATAGTGAGAACTCAAGGTGTATTTAGACTTTAATACAGTACATCAAGTATAGGGGTGCACCGGAACCAGTTTTTTTAAGTTCCGGCCGGAACCGGATCCGACCGGAACTGGAAAAAAGTTCCGGCCGGAACCGGAACTAATTTATTAAGCCATATATAGTCATATGTTTCTTTGTCCGCTGCCAGACAGGCAGACACTTCAAGTCATAAAGGAGAGAGCTCGCAAATGTTAGAATAAAAAGATTGACAAGCGTTAAACGTCATAATGAAGTGTTAGTAGTGTACATTTCCCTTGCGTAGTCCAAATTTCTTCCTACTGTGACCTTTTGTTAGACACAAAAACGTTTGATATTCTATCTCTCTGAAAACAACAGAGTTCCGGTTCCGGCCATGCTTTTTTTACTAGTTCCGGCCGGAACCGGAACTCTAAAAAATCGGGGTTCCAGCCGGAACTAACCGGCCGGAACCGAGTTCCGGTGCACCCCTAATCAAGTATAGTACATAAAAGGTATTCATTCAGTGAGCTACAGAAAATATCAATTCACAGTTAATAGAATACATGGTTTGGAGACTCGATGAAAGTACAATATGTTGGTTCATTATTAAACTATGTTGGTTTCGGTTTATGCAAGAATTTGGGCGTCACGTCACGTGTGTATTGTATTTTTTCCCGCACAACCAATAGCAATGTTTAAATTGAGCATTTGTTCAAGTTACGGATGGATAACTCAACCACAAATTTGTTATTGGTTATTTGAGCGAAAATACAATACACACGTGACGAGATAAGACCAAATTCTTGCATAAAGCTGGACAATAACATAGTTAATGAGTTATATTGTACTGTACGAGTCTCCAAACCATCTATTAAAATAACTGTGATTAATTAGAACAAGGTCAAGGAGCACAATTGCATATACAAACGCATACAGTTGAATTCAACAATCCCATCATTCATCAATCCAATGATGAGTCCCATCAATCCATAGCTACTTAGGCAGCGTTTACACTGTACCGTTTTCGTAGCGTTCTCGTATTGTTCGAGAGAACTAGACTATTGTCTTGCGTTCCCTTGAGGATTAAGAACAATACGAGAACGCTACGAAAACGGTACAGTGTAAACGCTGCCTTAGTTACAGTTTTGAAACCTTGGAAAGTTTGCTTGTCATACCAGCAAATTGTAAGTACGCAAATAGCGAATGGCTGACGAAAAAGACCAGGCCGTCGTAATATTCGCTTACCTCCGGCACGTAAAATGGTAAATCAACGCAAATTACTGCAGTCTTGAGGTATCCTGCAGATAAACACACCAACAAACCAAGGTGAAAACATGAACTCCTATAGCCGAGGTAATAAAAATCGTATCATTGATACAACAGCTGATGTGCTTGCATGAATCACCTAAAAAATATTTCTGCCACATTAAAGTTTTTCAAGTAAGAACTAAGTACATTGCAGAAACACAGAAGCCATATGCCAGTACATCTTCTCTAATGTGTTGTCCTTTAACGCGGCTTATTTCAGCGGCTTATTTCAGCGGCTTAACAACAATATTTCCTCATTATTTTTGTATGGACGCTTGCATATGTATGATTATATTGACTTGGTTCTCCTTTTTCGCATTCAGTGACTATAGCAGGATCGTGACTAAAACACCACACGAGTACATATGAGTAACATACGAGTAACACACAGGTACATACGAGTACATACGAGTAACACACGAGTACATACGAGTAACATACGAGTAACACACGAGTACATACGAGTAAAACACAAGTACATACGAGTAGAATACGAGTAAAATACGACTAGTAAACTTGTTTTTAGTGTTTGTAGATTGAATACAGGCAAAAAGATCGTCTTCTCTGTCGAAAAACGTGAAATAGACTGAAACCGGCTATCTTTAAAACCCGGAACGGGGAATGGGGGGACGGGGAATGGGAGAACGGGAAGTGGTGGAACGGGAAGTGGGGGAACGGAGGGAATGGAGGGGGGAGGGAGGAAATAGGAGACAGGGGGCGGGGGAGGTCTGCCAGATTCTATAAACCACAACTTTGTAGTTTGTACAACATCTACTTTTAGGTATTCTACCTGTGAGCATGCACAAAACCTAACTCACTAACTGCATCTATATAAATAGTTGTCGAATAAGGCTCAATATTTTGGACACAAAAATGTAAACAAAGGCTTTGTTTACATACGGACTGTATATCACCTTTAACAATAATTTATCCATTACTTATTATTAAAGGGGGATAGCAATGGCCGTGGGTCACGTGTGTGGCCGACATACCGCGAATGAATAGGGGGGTCTGGAGGCATTAACTCCCCAGAAAATTTTTGAAATTTCAAGCCCAAAAATGCCATTTCCTGCCGTCTGAGCATCTAAATTTTCTAGAATTTATCCTAACTATACTTCTATTTGAAATAAAAGAAGGAAAAACACACAAAGAATTTAAAAAATATTAACAATAATTTATCATTACTTAGTGTTAGAAACACGTAGGATGCCACGCGGTGACACAGTCCTTTAAATCGATTTTGTTAAACAAGGACAAAGGATAAAGCCTAAAACGTACGTTCCGTTTATCAATTTGTTATTCTTCGCTGGTTTGTTTGTATAAATTTAGGAAAAAGGGACTTTTCCTGGGGGGGGGGGGTGAAAGTGAGCCTCAGAACGTGCATTTTCATTTCCGATCAGCCTGCATCAGAGCAAAGTATCCAAGCTTTCCTGGCGACGTTCTCGTTCCTCCAGACTTTCCTCCCCTTCTCAAGGTGGAGCACGTTCAAAGGCTTGCAGGAGAGTTCGGCTGGGTCCTTTAGAAACGTACTTGCCAACTTAAATTGCTAACTTAAAATCTGCGTATTTTGAAGTATTTTGTGTTTTGTTAGTTTTGCTTTGTAAGATATTTAAAATAGGATAATCACTTTAAGATATCATATGGAGCATAAGGACCGCCTTGGGCTTGCATCTAGTCCTTAAGTTTGTTTTATTATATAGCAAGTATATTAGTAATGACATAACCAATGTTATTATTATTAATATTACTTAATGATCGGACATAAGCAATGTGGATTGACTTTTTTATGATACGCTGTACTAATAAAGGAAAGCTTCGCCAAATTTCTTTACTAGTTTTAATTCATTGAGCGGTTTTCTAATCGTCAAGACACCACAGTCCATTTTATAGTTTCGTAATTCCCCGATTCCCGTTTATCCTGTCGAATTTCTGTTTCTTTTTTTCTGTTCTTCCCCCCCGTACATATGATTAATATTACGTATTAATAATAATTCATAATTGCTCGATCCCCCTCCCCCCGTTCTTCGTTTCCACCATTCCCTGTTCCTCCATTCCCCGTTCCCCCATTCCACGTTTTTCGACAGAGAAGACGATCTTTTTGCCTGTATTCAATCTACAAACACTAAAAACAAGTTTACTAGTCGTATTTTACTCGTATGTACTCGTATGTACTTGTGTTTTACTCGTATGTCACTCGTATGTACTCGTGTGTTACTCGTATGTACTTGTGTGTTACTTGTATGTTACTCGTATGTACTCGTGTGGTGTTTTAGTCACGATCCTATAGCAGAACAAGAGTTTCGTACTAGAGACCAGAAAGAACTATCTCGCTCCCAAACCTACAGCATAGAGCCTTAAAATGTAAAGAAGTTAAGAACATAATTATGTCATTTGTGAACAAAATTATTTCCTTTCTCTGCTTTCTCCAAGAGAGAAAGAAGTCGTTCGCTTGCATCTTTTTCCTTGCTTCATTCATCGTCGTGCGTATTTAAAGCAGTTGAATTTGTAGCCTACTGAGCATCAATGAGCTTTCATATAGTATTATGTAGAATGAGCAGGAAAGTATGGTATTATAATACATTCACCCCCTTGTGATTTCTTTTTATTAGATGCTTGAAATGGACTGCTTAGTTGAACAGTCTTGGTGCTTGGAGTCGAACGTAACAGCCAACTATACCTGGATCGCCAGATATGAGCAACGTTTACAATTTACGCATCTCCCTAGAAAATATTTTGATCCAGCGAAAGAACTTTCTACTTCAAAGGATCTATAATGAGCTAAGGTTTTATGTTGAGTTGACTTCACCATTGGTGGACACTAGGTGGAACCCCCCTCCCCTCAATAATTTCTGAAAGCCTGTGAACGATAGAAAATTTAAGGCACAAAAGTTTTCCAAACCAAGATTTCCAGAAACAAAATGTGGTGATATGTGTTCATTGGGAACCAGTAACAGTAACCAAATGTGTTCATCCCCCCCTCCCCCCCAATTTCACAAAGTGTCCACCACCGGCTTCATCATGCACAACTCTTTTCAAATTGTGTTAATAATAATTCAACAGTACAGTTGAGTGATCCAATGGGATGATGCCATTGGATGATTGCTTCATAATTTGTGCCAAAAATATATTGTCTATATCATGTACAAGTTTGTATGACATGAACAGACAGATAGAACAAAAACTTTAGCCAAGTTTCCATATCTTGATTCAGTTGATTGACCATATCTTTTACAAATTAGTTACTATTTTTCATTCCCGTTTCACTATTTGAATCAACTTGTGTTAGTTCACAATTAAACACTTCCTGAAATGATTCAATGAAAGGAGCTGTCGTCTTTTCAACATTGATGTTCTTCCAGGTTTCTACTGAGAGTGATGTTGCACCTTTCCCAACTAAACCACATGGCACAATATGGTCAAACCAACCAAGATCAACATTACAGTTCAAAGCTAAACCATGAGAGGTTATCCAACGGCTCACATGGAAACCTAAAATAATGGAGATTAATTCTATAAATTAGATAAATAATCGTTACAGTAATTACTTAACTTGGGGGGTTAACCAAACTATATCCTGCCTCCTGTTAACACATTCAACTACAATGGACCTGTTTTAGATATTTTATTGTCCAATGCCCGGTAATTTTATCATGGCATTTATTAGATATTTACAAATAAATATAACAAATTTGCTGACAATAGTGACAAAATTATCCCCAAGGTGTTGATATCGAACCACAGAATTTTCTCGGAAAATATTTTTCTTCGTCACTAGTAATTGATCAGGTGCCCCACAAATAGTTGTGCTGTTTCATATAATGGAAGTAACATAAGAAAAAAACTAGAAAAGCCACAGCAATGTATTTCACTGAAATCAGTTTTATATTAGAAAGGCTTAACTTAAATTTTGATATATTACAATAACTAAAGATATCTGACAGTGCAGCTAGTATTGACCAAGTAATTGCCAGACAGTGTCTTACATTGTTAAACTGAGGGACCAATTTAATTGACAAGCCAAAAATGACCATAAAACAGACTATCAAATACCATTTGGTTACGTACATTTGGTCCCGTGCAGGACATTCCAGATTTTTGTTTTATTTTCAAGAGGCAAGTGCCACAAAAGGCTCACAAAACTGTAAAAGTTCCATGAAATAATTGAAGCATTAAATTAATAAACTTGATAAAATTGATTAAATTTATTTAATTGATTAAAAAAATAAACTGTAAAAGTTCCATGAAATAATTTGTAATTCAAGTAATTATAAATTCATTGAAATTGGATATTGCATGACAGTTCAAGTACTATAATATATATCAAAATAATTTGAAAGTTTTGTTGGAAATTTAGGTGAATTTCCGCCACTGTGAAAATACAAGCAGAACTTCGACATTTCAAACCTCAAACTTTGATTGCCTATAGGTCAGCATTCAGATAGGCATCGGATGATTGCCGGCTTAGAACACCACTGAATATTCCTTAAGGTTTAGAGGCATGCACGATGAGATTTTTGAGAATTCGATATATAGGCAGTGGGCCGGCCGTTGGCCAAAATTATTTCGCTTCGTGGCACGCATGTGGGAAGTACTAGGTTTGTGGTTTATTTGAAAGGCATTAGGTACATTAATACCAAAAAAGGTTCCCAATAAAGCAAAAAACTTGTCCAATACCAAGAAAATGGTTATCCTCTGTCAAACTGTATTACTTAACAGCAAAAAAATGAGAAATGCCTTGCATCATCGGAAAACGTACAAAAAACTGCATATAAGACTTTTAATTAAACAGTTTTTTGATTCTTCAAATAGTCTTTGAGTTATTGCTGTTTTAAATGTGAAAATTGGACCAAAATGTCACAATAAGGACTTGGTACTAGGTCAATTTTTTGGTAATTGATCATCTATGGTATATGCACATTCTCGTACCCAGAGCCCTGCTTACGCGTGGTGCGACGAGGGGCTCTGGCCAAATCCATATCCGAACTGGCATCTGATTGGCTAGTTCTAACACCGGATACTGTTTTCTTACCATGTTTTTATGGTATCCGGTTATGGATTTGGCCAGAGCCCCTCATCGCAACGTGCATAAGAAGGGCTCTGGGTACGAGAATGGTATATGCATTGAACCCACTGATGATTGGACCACAGAAAATCTATTCCCCAGGGGGGTGCCACAAAATTGCTTTTCTAGGTACTTTTTCGCACAATGACCCACAGCCTAATACTTCCCCAACAAGAATTCTTGATATTCTCAAAATGTAGTAATCAAGTTATGTTTCATCTGCAATGTAAAAAATGGTTAAAACGCAGCACACAATTCATAATATTTAACTAGGCACGAAGTATATTGAACCTTCCTTTACTTACTAGGTTATTTACTTACCAATTGCAGCAATCTTACAATCGTCCACCCAAACACCTGGATTACTTGTCCTCTTTGCAACCACACCAAATTTTTTGCATGTTCTAATACCAACCTCCTCCAGCATCTCGTTATAACATCGAACATTCTGTATAAACTGTGTTAAGTTTAGGATAGGATAACACATCAATTGTCCTGGCCCATGAAAGGTTATGAGACCACCACGATCTGTATATTGAAACTCCGCACCTAGTTTCTCTAAATAGTCTACATCTTTGACACTTTTGTCCCGAATACCGGTCGTATACACTGGGAAATGTTCACAAATTATTAAGGTATTAGGCGATTGTGAGTTACTCTTCATCGACTTCATATGTAATTTTGTAAGTTGTTTCATGGCTGCTAAACCGTCTTTGTAATTTATACGTCCAAGATTTTTGTAAAGAACAACAGATTTTCTCACTTTGTCCGCCATTTCTGTATTTTATATTTTTTGTCCCCCCCTGGAATTTAATTTATTGGTAGATAAATGACCTTTAAAATGCGCGAACAGGGGGGGGGGACTAAAACAATTTTTCTACATATTTTCTACATAATAATAATAAAGATTATAAAGTACAAATATGGCGGACGCAATGCAGCGAAAAGGAAATATTACACACGTTATTTTTGATATGGATGGCTTATTGCTAGGTAAGAAAAGTGTGATTGCGCTTCAAATTGCATGTTTCACGATGCATCTCTATGATCTGTTTATATTATTTTAAAATATGGAAAGTGGTCAACTACAAATATGAATTAGACATGAAGTAAATACTATAAATTTATAGAAATCTATAAATTAGAAAATTAGCCTAGACTGCAGCCTAACTGCTTGTTTTGGAATGCGCTCCCGAGATTTAATAAATTTAGTAGTGAATATATAGAAAGCATCAAAATTGTGTGCCCGATATCTTGGTTGTATGATAAAAATTTTCCACACTGCAGGGTCACAGGGTGCATTTTAAAGTGCAATAGCCGAAGATCTTCGGCGTGAGTTTGGCAATTTACAGTACTAACTATAGTTAACATTGACGTATCTTCGGCATAGAGTTTACATGGAATTCACACAGTTGGGACTGCAGTGCAGTTTAGCGGAGACCAGCAGGGGCGGCAACCTTGCGTACCTAGGCTATTTTCTCTGGTGCCATAGCCACCTGAAAGATCCTGGGTACGAGGATGCAGGGGTTGTCAAACTAGTCACTACTAAATACTAATGTAAAAATTGCCGAATTCTAGCCATTTGATTGGTTAAGATCCATTATGACTCATCTATATGGGGGTCTGACTAGTTTGCTCAATAATGAGCTCATATATGAGCTTTCTGATTGGCTGATACTCTCATTGGCTTTATTTGTCTGACTCACTTGACTATTTTGCTGAGTATTTTGCTTGCAGCTCCTTAGTCAATATGGTACATGGAAAACTTTTCAGATTGCTTCTAGTATGGAAGTTCATATCAATTTCGGTAGACTCGATACAATGCCCACTTGATACAATGCCCATGAAACTGTTCAGTCTGTGTTTAAAAATAACAATCTGGAGTAGCTAGCAAGGGTAAACACAGATCTGTTGAAGCATATATCCATGCTTCAAATGCAAGATCTGTCGATGGAATTTAGGTGCTATATCTGTGACACTAAATTTCAGCCTCGCTAGAAATTTGGGTGCAGAGATTACCGAGATACCGAGATTTACTTGGCAGGTAAAGAAGAAGTGTACAGCTATAAGGCAAAGATATTCTATTTATAATGTGTTTAATTTATATGCTGGTGAGGAGGCATAAAAAATACCTGTGGTTCCGGTTTCATATCGTGAAAAAATTAGGGTCGGTAGGTCGGAAATAAATTTTTTTTTTAATCTTTTTTTTCATGGTTTTGGCGGTTTTTTGCTGGGCGATTTGCAGTAGAGTCCCGACATCAATATTAACTAGAGATGTGTATTTCCTATGGACAAATTTAGGCAATTTGGTTTAATAATTAGTGTGACAACAGACACCATTTTGGCACGCTGTACGAGCAGCCCGCTACCACCTGGAAAAAATAGGGTTACACGGTCAATCGCGTTGAAAAAAATAATAGGGTCGGCAGAAAAAAATAGGGTCAGTCGGGAACCGGAACCACAGGTATTTTTTTTACACCTAACTAACAGCATCTTAGGTTTTTCTGCTTGTGCACTTGAATTATTAATTAGGATACTTCTGTGGTTGTTCAATTAATAGGTTATCTATTTATATATTTATAATCCAAGAATATAAATTGCTAAAATTATGTTTTTTATTTTAGTATTATATATGTTTCAGGAAAGGCTTTGTTGATGTACTTATAACAACTAACTGATAATTAATATATTAAGAGAACTCAGAATTGCATGCCACATGCATGCATGGATGGTGTTTAAATATAGAATTCAGATATTAACTACACCAATTAATATGGTTATCTATATCTAACCTTAAAAACGGTTGAAACAGTAAAATTTTTGCTTCTAAATGTTATTGTAAACAACCAAACAAAATTACCATAAACTGTGCCTGTGGCAGTTGTACCATCAGAGTAATAATTCGAATAATGATGAACAACCTAATAATCAATCCACAAGGAAAATGACAACCATATTTTAAAGTTATATTTTAATTATAGTTTCAAATGTTCATTTGATAACTGCACATTTGTGTTTTAATTAAGAACTACACAAATGGGTTCAGAACCAGTTGTATAAAACTCTTACCCTATTGCCCCAGATATAAGCGCAGCAGCTAGCTGTAAGCGAATTTTCTGCAATTTTGGAAATCATTGACCCAGACGTATGCGCATGGAGTCTGGGTGGGTACGAGAATTCGCGTATCCCTGTTGTTGTTATAAAACAATTAACAGTTATTCCACGAACTCGAGTCGAATATGAGCTGATAGCCGATGAGGCGCGTAGCGCCGAATCGGCTATCGCTCATATTCGACGAGAGTGAGTGGAATAACTGTTTTATTATATACACAAGGTCTGAATTCACAGACTTTGCTTTTCGGATATTTTCAATATTTTTCTATTTTTTAAATGTTTTTTTTATCTTCGCTCTTTCGGCCGATTATTTTTTCAAAAATATATATTTTTAATCATTTTAAATTTTAAAAATTCATTTGCTAACCTGTAAACAATTTGTGGGAGTTTTTTCATTGTGTTTTTAATCCTGTAAAGGCTATAAAAAGCGAACAACTTGCCGTTTTCTCATTCGCAAACGTCGAAAATTCAGTTTCAGCCGCGGCAGGTACAAAACGCAGGTTGCAGGTTGCAGGTTGGAATTTTGCAGGTTGGAATTTTGCAGGTTGGGGATTTTGCAGGTTGGAATTTTGCAGGTTGCCAGGAACTTTGCAGGTTAATAATGCGAGCTTAAAATTACACCACTTTTTTAGTATTCTAGTATAATTTAGTTGTGCATTTATTGCAGTCTGACTCCTTGTCGGCGCCTCTGCTCTAAGGCTAGTGGCCATCACCCCCGTGAAAACATTCAAAATGACCAGATTGGCTTGGACCTACAGGGAGACGAATGCAGGGGTGTAGGAACCGGGGGGGCAGGCCCCCCAAGTTTTGCCAAGTGCCCTTTTTCCGGGAGCAAAGTGCCCTTTTTTGTGTTAAAAATGTTTTAAGGATTGCCTATTTTTGCCCAAAGCGCACTTTTCGAAACTTGAATTTATGTTATTTTCCGGAATATTTTTTTCATTTTGGGAAAAAATATGATGTCCGAAAAAAATTTTTGTGTTTCCGGAAAATTTTTTTCATATTTAGGAAAATTGGATATATCTGGAAATATTTTTTTGGTATGTCCGGAAAAAAATTTTGAGACCTCCCCCCTTCCCACCCCCGTCGCCAACATTTCCGGGAAAAAATTTTTAGATGCCCTTTTTTATTCGGAAAGTGCCCCTCAAAGCCTGCCCCCCCAACTTTTAGAAGCTTCCTACGCCCCTGGACAAATGTTTTGATTGTTGCGAGGTGCCTACATGATGTGGCGGCGTTTATACTAGAATGTTGTTAAAAGTTAACTAACTC